ATATTGTCTCCAATAAGGAGAAAATTGCTTCTTGGGGTGAAAAAAAATCTATGTCAACACATATACTGTATATTTGTGATATTAAAAATTTATGGGAAAGGAGGCAGTTAGGGAAAAAATGTCTAAAAAGCCTCCAAAGGGAGCAATAATGAAAATGATCTCGAGAATCACCAATTAAGGAAAATGGCAATATAGATGTGTGTGTTTTTCATATATGAAAAACTAGAAATTGTAAAGATATCAACTCTCAAAATTAATTCATAGACTTAATGGAATTCTAATAAAAATATGAATGGACTTAAAAACTGGCAAGTAATTCTAAAATTCACTGGGGAGGATAAAATGATGAGGTGTATTAAGATAATACTGGTAAGATGAGTTCTAAATGATATTATTGATAGTATTTACTCTAAAACTTTAGTAATTAAAAGAGTGTGGTATCCTTGGCATCAGTATACATATGCAGATCAGCCCAGAAAGTCCAAAATAAATGAGAATTTATTTTATGATAAAGGCAGCATTACAGATTAGTGAGGAGAAAATATTATCAATCAGTGGTTCCAGAGTGATTCTTCAGCTATTTGGATAGAAACATTAAGTTCAAGTTCTCCCTCATACTACAATTATATTCTAGACAGATTAAAGAACGAAAACATACTTTAGCAAGGGAATCTTAAAAAAAGAAAAGAACAAAAACAATACAAACAATACAACAAAAACAATCAAAACAATAAAACAATGAAAACATACTATACCTAAAGGAAAATGTACATGGGTATTTTCCTGATTTGGTGGTAGAGAGGGCTTTTAGGAGAAATATAATGAAAGCAGATACAATGAAGAAAAATTTATACATGTGACCGAACAAAAAAAGTCTACATCAAGGAGTTTTCATTAGCAAAAATAAAACACAAGAAGCTAACTGAATATTTTTCATGTATGATGAAGGTTGATATCCTTGATGAATAAAGAGCTCCTACACATCAACAAGGTTAATGTGAGGATGCAGGTATGTAATAGACAGCAGGCATAACAGGCAATTCTTCAAAGAAAGGCCAGTGAGGACTAAGCTTATGAGAAACATGTTAATTCACCATGAATTAAAGAAATGCAGATGAAAATTTAAATGGATTTTTTTTCCTCTCTCAATTGGCGATAACTAACCAAAAACACTTGTTTTGGGAGAAGTTTGGGCAGAAATGGTGGTCACATACACTGCTGGAGAGTACGTAGACTGGTACAGCCTCCTTTGCGGAGGGTGGCTTTTAAAATATGTTTTTCTTTTAATTCAATTCTACTTCCAGATTTTTATTCAAAGTAATACTTCAGGATATGTATAAACACTGATGTATAAGGATTTCACTGGAATATTAGTCATCATAATGAAAAGTGAGAAACAAATTATGTTGAGCAATAGGAAAATAGTTGATCGTAGAATATCTGTATTATGGAATACTAAGCAGTCAAGACAGAGTCTATTATGGAAGGCTAATCATGTGGACCGAAATTCTGAATCCATGGTCATTAAGAAATAGTAAGCAATAAGACCCTATTTTAAGAATTGCATATGTTCACAGAGAAGACAAGGAATGAGATAGATAAAGTTACTAATAGTGGTTATCTCTGGGTGGTGGGTTTAAGGACAATTTTTCTTTGTGCTTTTCTATAATTTAAAATTTTTATTCAATAGCCACTTATTAATCTAGGTGTTTAGATAGATCAGAATAAAAATCAATTAATCTTATGATTAAAAATACATTGCTTTGCAGGATCCCGGATCCACTTGATCTGTAATGTCACTGGCCTGCTCAGTGACATGATCTTCTGGAAGTGGAATGGGTCCTACATTGACGAAGATGATCCAGTGCTGGGGGAAGATTATTATCCGTATGTATGCTAAGAGCCAATCACATTTTGATATTAAATTCCATGTCATATTTTATTAACACATAAGCTTGATGGTTTAACCTAATAGCAAGGGTTAGTTGGCGGTGGATTGGTCCTAACCCTTTGCTGACCATTTTGAGTTTTGCTAAGCTAAGCAGGATTTATAGGATCTTATACATTTAAGGTAAAAAAATACATATCATTGTGGTGCAAATTCCATACCATTTAGAAACCTTTCTAGTGAATTCAGTTATACATGTCACAACATTCCAATGAGGCACTTATCCTGAATTACTCTTCAAGTTTCTTAAGTAATTTAGAAAAGACTGGTTAAATGGGGTCAAGAATGAGAACTCTGCTGCTCTAAAGTCTCTGCTGGCCGTTACCTTTCCTTGCATCACCTGCAAAGTCCTTTGTCATCTACCCCAATCTACTCTTGTTTAATATATTCTTCTCTGTGCCCCGTGGAGACCAGAATGCACATGTCCATAGTTTTCTGCTTGGAAGCTGGTAATTTGAATTTGATTTCTCTGCTACTGAGTCTGTTACTGACAATAGTCTTAGGGCTATAAAATCTCAGATAGTGTTGCCAAAAGTCTGATTGTTAGAATTGTGATTAAGGCGGGTCATTATTTCAGCTGCAATTTATGTTACAAATAAGGAAATATGTCAGCTATACATGTCTTATTTGTAGTTGACGCAAGTAACTTACTATCTCTTTTTTGAACAGTCCGGAAAATTCTTCAGACAAAAAACGGAAAATACTCATCACAGTGCTTAATATTTCAGAAGTTGAAAGTAGATTTTATCTCCATCCATTTACCTGTTTTGCCAGGAATACATATGGCATAACTGCAGCATATATCCAACTAATACATCCAGGTAAACAACAAACTATTTGAAATGCTGTTTTATTTTACTGTAGTAAGATTCCATAAGGTTTGCAATGCTATTTCCTCTGCCTAGAACACTCTTCACTTCTTCACCTGGGTAACTTCTGCTCTTCTTTCACTCCTCAGCTAAACTCTTCTTCTAGGAAGCTTTTCTGTCTTGCCTGCCCTTAACTTAGCTCTCTGTCCAAACAGACCAGGTTAGGTGCTCTGTTATGTGTTTCCGCAGCACCATAGTCCACTTACGAGATCTATTGTACTTAGTTTTCTTTACTCAACTGTAAATTCTGTGATGGTGCTGACCATTTATCTTACCAATTATTCTATTTCCAGAGCAGGTAGCAACTTAAGTCCGGTACATTGTCAGTACTTAATGAATACTTTTAAGTAATAATTACATGATCAATGCATAGGAGAAGCCTAAATATCCACTGCTTTCATCACTTGGAATAATCAAACACAATATCGAAAACATTTGTGAAATATTTTAAGATAATTTGTGGTTTAATTAAAATAGGGTATTGTAAGTGTGTACATGGAGGAATATCTAAAAGAACCTACAAACTATTAGAATTAGTAAATGAGTTTAGAAAGCTCACTAGAGTAATCTTGCTATATACATATACGCACACACAGAGTATATATATAATTTCATGTATGTGTAAATACAAGTAGCATACAAATAGAAATTGCATTTATTAATAAAAGATAGCATTTATAACATCAAAAATTATCAAATACCTAAGAATAAATCTCACAAAAGCTGTTCAAGACCTAAGCAATACAAACCCAAAAAAAGTTGTTGAGATAAATTAGAGAAGAACTAAATAGATGGAGGGGATATACAATGTTCATAGATTGAAAGACTCAATATTATAAAGATGTCAGTTCTCCCCAAATGAATCTATAGATCTATAGATTCAAAGCAATTCCAATCAAAATCTCAGCAGTTTTTCTGCAAGTGTGTGGGTGTGTGTGTGTGTATGGGTGTGTTGTGGACACGTGTGTAAATGTACAGGTTTATTGTAAGAGTCATGTGGAAGTGTAAGGACCAAGAATAGTCAAGGTGATCTTAAACAGGAACACTAAATCTAGAGGATTTACACGACAGACATCATGATCTTACATGAAACTACAGTAATTAAGACTGTAAATGTGAACTATTGATTGGGCCAGTTGGATACTGGTCTGGAAAATGGTATATCTTGATTTCTACTTTGTCCCAAAATCAGTTCTGGATGGATTGAAGATCTAAAGTGGAAAAGTAAAATAATAAAGCTGTTAGATTCTCTTTTCTGGGTGCCTGCATGGTCTCTGACATTTAGAAGCCACTTTCTTCTTCTTTCTTCTTCTAATTCTTCTCTAGCCCCTCCCCCTTTAACCTCCCCTCTTCCCTCTCCTGCTCCTCCACTGTAATCATTGGTTGAATAATTGGAAAGAGCCCAGGAGAATGTGGAAATGTGAAACCTTCCCTAAATCTACCCCCAACACCCTTTTCCCTTCACCCCAGCTTTTGGCTTTTCCTAACTGACTCTGCTACCTCAGGGAGCTTGTGTAAGTTTTTGAGTGATTTTTGACTTTTACTTATTTTACTGTGAATGCTCTATCCTATGGTCTTCTGTATTTTTTCTGTGTTATTGTATATTATGCTATTTAGCTGGTAACATAATAGAATGTACCTTAGTTTTATATGGTTCATGCTAGGTTGCTTTGTACATTAGTACCTTAGATTGTTAAGTGGGAATAATGAATGAGTTAATACTATCTGAATGTAGACTAATCCCAAATATGGTTTTTCTGGGATGAAGATATTCAGTTTGCTATGCTCGAATTTTTAATTCTTTTTGGTTCTAATGTTTTTCCCCTCTTTTCTGCTATAGTCCCTGATTTCCAGAAGCACATGATTGGGATATTTGTTATGTTAACAGTTGTAATTACATGTTCTGTTTTCATCTATAAAATCTTCAAGATTGACATTGTGCTTTGGTACAGGGATTCCTGCTATGATTTTCTCCCCAAAAAAGGTATAATTTTATGTTCTATGCAATATTTTCTTGTTGGAGGGAGGAGATAGTTAGGAGATGTAGAAGATGACTAAGGGGGTTTTTACTCAAATTTTAAAATGAAAGGTGGCATATATAAGAATAGTAGCTATTCTTATACATAATTATTGTTTCATAATTGACTAGGCTGAATATCATTGTTTTCTAAATTTCTTCTTTAGTATTCATATTGGTAAGATAAACAGGGGTTTAGAGTACTGTTTATAAATTCAGTTATTCAGAAGCCATTGTTGAGGATTTGCTCTGTGCTGAGTAGGATGGTCATAGATCACTCTCTGATCTGCCTTCAAATAAAAAAAATGACTAGATTTTCATGCATCGGGGAGGCTCTCTCTTTCTCTTTTGCTTAAATTTTGCAAAAAACTAATACCACAATAACATATAAAAGGAAGAATGGATAGAATTCAGGGCTGAGACATTTGGGGTAGAAAATGAGAACAGGGAGAAAAGGATCTTTCCATACTGAGAATGTGCAAGATGGCCATCCATACAATATAAGAACAACGTTGTAGTAAAATGTGATATATAGTAACCTTGTAAGAGATGAACACTTTAAAAAGGTGGACCAATTTTGGTATTGCTGCTTCAATCGTACCATTGTACAAAAAAGATTAATAATTCGTTATGAAATGCACGTTGACGATATTGACTATCAAAGCTCTTATTTTTCCTTTTGGTTCTAAATACATTACATTTTTCCTTTAGCTTCAGATGGGAAGACCTACGATGCATATATACTGTATCCAAAGACCCTTGGGGAAGGGTCCACCTCTAATTCAGATATTTTTGTGTTTAAAGTCTTGCCTGAAGTCTTGGAAAAACAGTGTGGATATAAGCTGTTCATTTATGGAAGGGATGACTACGTTGGGGAAGGTATGTATGTAATGGAACAAAGTAAAGGCTTATTGTTGTGAAACTAATTGCTAACATTTGGGTTTCATCTTTTTAGAACGATGTGGCATAGGTACACATATTTGACAATTTAAAAACCTCTTCAGTGATATATGATGACGATTTTCACATTTATTAAATACAAAGTATTCACTTCTCTCATATTTTGTTGGAGCAATAATTAAGTGATTTTTACTTAGTTTTGGGAAACCTGATGGCTAGTTAGTACTTTAAAACTGATACAATAAAATAGGAGTAGTGTAGATCAAATGATTTGACAGGAAGTTTTTAAAGTTCTAACTGAAACTTTTCTGAGTTCTAAATGAAATTTTCAACTTTTGAGGACCAACTTTTGAGTTGCTCTATAAAATGGGAAATTCCTTTAATCTTGAGCAAGGCAAGAAAGAAGCATTAGGGGATGGATTGGAAGCACCTTGTGAGGTTTTGGTTCTGGAGAGAATGATTATAAATTGACATTTTACTTACTATGCTTTGCTTCATGTTTTTCAGACATTGTGGAGGTTATTAATGAAAACATAAAGAAAAGCAGAAGACTGATTATTATTTTAGTCAGAGAAACATCAAGCTTTGGCTGGCTGGATAGTTCATCTGAAGAGCAAATAGCAATGTACAATGCTCTTGTTCAGGATGGAATTAAAGTTGTCCTGCTTGAGCTGGAGAAAATCCAAGATTATGAGAAGATGCCAGAATCCATTAAATTTATTAAGCGGAAGCATGGAGTCATCCGCTGGTCAGGGGACTTTACAGAAGGACCACATTCTGCAAAGACAAGGTTCTGGAAGAAAGTCAGGTACCACATGCCGGCCCAGCAACGGTCGTCTTCAGCCAAACACCAGTTACTGTCTCTGGCCACTAGGCCGAACTCAATGGAGAAGCTGCAGAGAGAGGTTCACCTGCCTCTTGGGTAGCGTGCAGAAGCCTGACAAGAGCTCTGTGGGTGCCTCCTGTCTCATGGCTTTGCAGGCCGGGCTGTGCCTCCTGCTCACTGGTACAGTCATAAAATGTACCTGTAGAGTCCGTTATCCCTGAGGTCACCTGGAATCAGATTGTTCAGGGAGAAGGACGTGCTGACAATAGCAGGCCAGGGTACTGCAGAGAAGAGGGCTTGGGAAGGCCTTAAGGAAGGCAACAACTGCCCTCTCTGAATGTTTAACTGCCGAGGAAAGGCACAGAGACAGCAAACTAGAGGAAAGAACATGCAGGATATGGTCACCATCCATAGATGGTTTTGTGAAGTGGCCCACAGCCCAAGGGCAGGGCCGTGGCCCTGTCTGGGGACTCTGTAGGGTCCCTGGCCCTGGAGTGTCTCTCCTGGGTGGGGCTGCAGGTGAAGTGAGACTGACACCTCACAGAGGAAGATGGACGTATTCTTGGAGAACGTTCCATTTGCTTGCATTTTCCATACACATCCACTGCCAGCAGTTTCCAAAGATTCAATTTTACCTTATAGACCTTGAAAACTGTCGTTTCAATGAACAAAGGGATTCTCTGGGATCCCAAGGTTTTGAAATCATCTTAGCTTTCCATAGGAGAGAGAGAATTTTAAAAGCAACAGAAGCAGGAATTGATCCACCTGTTAATGTTTTCCTCTCTGGCATGGCCATCCAGTTCTTCCTTATTCTTCTGCACTGTCCTGGGCTCATTGCTTCTTTGGAAGGACAGCTTCCCAGTGGCTTCCTTCCTGCGCTGTCCCATGCACAGCCCATAAATGACCCGTCCTTCCTAAGATGCTGTTCTCCTCTCACCCTGCTCCTGCTGGAACGCCTCTAAGGGGCTCCTCCAGTTCAGGAGCTAAAGCCCTAGCTCTCCCGCCAGCTTGTCACCCCGACCTGCCCTCAGCCTTCCCTCACCGGTCCTGCTGCGTGAACTCCTGGGTCAGCCTCGCAGTCTGGGCACCTGACCCGCTCTTCCATCCTCTCCCTACCCCTGCCTCCTCTGACTAGAATGCGGTCTTAAATTTTCTCCTGCTGACCAGAATTTGACTCACATTCAAAATTTACCCCAAGTTCCTAGTCCCTGAGAGAGACTTTGCCTAAGAGTTTACTCTCAAACCCTCTCTCTCCGCCATGTGTCAATGGTACTGACTGCTGGTGACCATTCTAGGGGAGGGTTGTTCTCTCCCCACCGGAGTCTGTGCTCTTGGAGGGGGAGGCCGTGGCTGCGTCTCCATGTCCCTCTCTGCATTCCACGAGTAATTTGCACATATGACACAGATTTGCATATTGCTTTATTGTTTAAAAATGTTCTCAGATTATCTTATTTAAGTTTTGCAATTATTCTAATTTTCTACAGAGAGGAAGTGACCAATTTTTTTTTTTTTTTTAAATCACACTCTAAGTTCTATTGGATCTAGGACTTGAACTTCCATTTCTGGCTTCTAGTCCAGTGCTCTGAATACTTGACATCAGGTAAATAACTATGCTCCTCACGCCCACCCCAGCACTTTTGTGAGAAGAAATGATAGTTTTCTAGGAGGCAACAGAGTCTAGGAATGCTTTTGTTTAAGAAAGCAAATTCTAAACTTTTCAGTGTTGGAATTTACAAAAATGATGTTTAGATTTTATGAAAAACTTTTCTACCTTCATATATTCTTCCCCTAAAGTTACATATTTCTTGGTCAACTAAAAATGAAAAAGAATTGTGTTTTTCTGGTATACAAAATTTTAAAAAAAAATTTGATGAGAGTCTTCAGCATGATTAGAGAAATCCTGGAAAACCGCAAAGCCAAGTTTATGTGCCACTTATTGCAGGACACATGAACAGTTTTAAAAGTTGTATGAACGTGGATAGGCCTCCTGGTTTTCATATTTTTATGTTTTTGATATGTAATATTATGGGTGGACACACATTTTTATTCGGAATAATATTTTTCCCCCGAAGTTGTCAGAGCTAGACACCAATGCACAGAATTTCATACTGACTCTTCCCTTTCCATCTACTGTCTCCTGGGTGTGATCTGACAGCATTGAGTGACAGTGCTGTGTAGAGCTGCCATTCTGAAAGACAGGGCCTTGTTTTCATTTGGCAGTATCCGTAGACTGCAGCCAGAGGTCCATGGGGGTAGGGTGGGGGTGTCACATCCTGAAAAGTCTATTAGGTGCTTTAAATTTTTAATTTTGTTCATGATTTTAGTCTGTCATCTAGAAAATATATCAGCATGCACAGTGCCAAGAAAGCAAGCCAATTCTGAAACTTAGAATTGTCCACAAAATCGGCCAGAAAGTGGGGAGGAGTTGACAACCAAGAATTTAAGGAGGAACAGGAATCAACAGATAAGCCTGGGTGAAAGGGCATCCCAAGCAGAAAAGTGCAATGTCATTCCCGTAACTTCCAAGGGCTGGATTAGGGGGGTGGGGTGGAGAAGCTACATTTTTAGTTTCCTATGAACTTTCTTTGACTTCTGTCTTTCCCTCCACACCAAAAAAACCTTTTTAAATGCCTTCCCCATTGGTAAGATTTTATTGCACTTTCTGATGGTATTTTTTTTTAGTTAGCCTGAGTATTGAAGAAGAGTTTGCAAATGCAGCAAAGTATTTAATTACCAGTTGTTAAAACTGGGTTAGCAGAATTTATACTTCCCCTTTCCTGCCTTTCTTTTTATTTTATTTGCAATAAAAGAAAAGGTAATGAGCCATTTTTTTAAATGACAATTTTGATAAATTATGTGTGTACTGGTTAACAATGAAGGGTTTTTTTTTTAAAACTTGTTTGTATAATTCTGTGGCAGATGCCAAATATTTTTTATATATCAAAACATCAGATTCATGTACAGCATACATCTTTGATCAATAGACTGTACTTGTTTTCCAATAAAACTGTCAAACTTTCCATTGAGTGTTATCATTGAAAATCTCTTTCTTGGCCTGCCGTGGCCACAGCTTACCTGCACATTCTGGGACCTGAAGGAGGTGAGGATTCCTTATGCAGAGAGTTCTTTGTGGGGTTGGGGGGAGAAGGAGAGTGGAGGTCAGAGGCCACTGGCCAAACAATGAGCCCTAACTCCCCTTGGGTATCCTCCACTGGACTCCATCTGTTTAGTAGCTTCTCAAATGGATTAAAATGTGTCATATTATTAACTGTTTATTAACTTACTGTTGCTTTACGTGTTCATATATTTTTAAATAAATCCCTCAGTAAAATTTTAAAATATGAGAACTTATAAGAGTCTAAGAATCAGCTATCCAGAAAACTTGCCTATCCAGAAAACTTGCCTATCCAGAATTTCTCACTGGAAGAAATCAGAGAGCTTTTCACTATGTTTTGGTTATGTTACCAGTTAGTGTGTTTTTTAGCTAACCATTAGAAAAATCAGTGCTAACCCCCATTTAAAGATCATGTTTTTTTCTTTCTCTCTATCAGATAACTTTTCCCAAGTAAATACACAATAGGTTTGGGCAGGGTGTCTGGAATAATTTCACATTAGCAACGTCATCTTGTGGGGAAAGACCGGGGATTAATTCTACACTGTCACAGTTTTGAGACTAGAGCACAGCACCTGGTTGTGTTAAATTCCAGTTTTCTCATCGGTAAAATAGGACTTTCTATGTTACGAGGTGTTCATATGAGGAAAGCCTCTGTCCAGTACACGGGATAGAATCTCAAAACATGTTCTCTTAATTTTATCACTTGATCAGTACAGATAAAATAAAAAATTTATTTGTCCAAAATGTATCCTTTTCAAATTCTAAAGTTTTGGGTTTGAAGGGAGAAGGAGGGGATATAATCTTCATGTTAACTTTTTAAAATGGTAATAGCTGCTACTTAATCTGATTTTAGGAAGTCAAGATCTGGTTTGGTATTTTTGATACAGTAGGTTCCCCACATATTAATTGAAGGAATTTTAAGTATAAATATTATACAATTACAAGATCAGAGATTTCCTCCAGCTAATTTGTTAAAAGAAAACCTTTTCACCTTTGAGGGGAGACTCTGGAAGTGTGGCCAGGTTGGCTTAGTGTAAGAGGCCGCCAGTGGGGAGGGGTGGGTAGCAGGTAGAGAAGAGAATGGGTGGGCTTGAAGGGGGGAAAGTCGTTCCTCTTTTTTTTTTTTTAATGAGAATTAAGATCATTGAGGAAAAAATAAAAATAAAAAATAAAAACACAGAAACAACAGATATGGCATTCCAGCTTCAAATTGTACCCCATCTCCTGAAACTGTGGACGGTGCAGTTAAGATTCCTTAGCAAGCCTTTCAGTGGTGAGTGCAGAGAGAGATTTTGCCATCAGCATTCTTTTGTTGCTTCCCCGACACCAATAATCCAGTTTTCACCACCAGAGAGAAATAATGTTCCCACCAGTGCTGTTTCTGTGGATGAAGAATAGCTATTACATGTATTGACTTCCCTTTCTTCCTCACTATTCAAGTTCTCAGAAGACGTGAGAAACAGTTCTTTACATTTTTCTTCGATAGCGCTATGCTTGTGATGAAGTACATAATAAACAGTTCTAAGAAAAAAAAAAGTCCCGAAAAAAGCTATTAAAATCCAAATCTTCAAAATATAATTACTTAATATATTTGAGGAACAGTTCATGATGACAAGATTTGGCCAAGACAAGAATTTTTAACTAAAAATGATGTTCATCAAAAACTTATTTCCTGGAAATTGAAAAGAAAATCATGTTCCTCTTTTGCTAAAATAAAATGCACAAATGAGCCATTACAGTGGCAAGAATTCATAAAATAAGAGTACACATGAAAAATGTATATGAAGAGACAGGTGAGAGGGACTATTTTTGGTGTAACAGCATTTATTTTGCAACCAAAGTGTGTGCATGTGTATAAATTTTTAGGGAAAAGAAGAGTTTCAAGAAATAGATGATACTATTTAAAATGAGTATTAACCTTTCAAAACAAAAACATGCTCATCTTACCACAGGTTGCTCAGGTTTCTTCTGAGGAAGGTTGGCTGATTAAAATACATAGATCCGGCCGGGCGCGGTGGCTCACGCCTGTAATCCTAGCTCTCTGGGAGGCCGATGCGGGAGGATTGTTTGAGCTCAGGAGTTCGAGACCAGCCTGAGCAAGAGCGAGACCCCGCCTCTACTAAAATTAGAAAGAAATTAATCGGCCAACTAAAAATATATAGAAAAAATTAGCCAGGCATGGTGGCGCATGCCTGTAGTCCCAGCTACTCGGGAGGCTGGGGCAGTAGGATCACTTGAGCCCAGGAGTTTGAGGTTGTTGTGAGCTAGGCTGACGCCACGGCACTCACTCTAGCAACAGGGCAACAGAGTGAGACTCTGTCTCAAAAAAAACAAAACAAAAACAACAACAAAAAAAACAAACAACAAAAAAATACATAGATCCAGTACATTCACCTTAAATCTGAACCCTAAACATGAGCACAGTAGTCTCTAAAATTTGCAGCTGTTAGACTCGTTGAGCCTGTATCACCTGAATCTAAACTCATAGGATTCTGTTGACTTCTCTAACGTGTTTTTCACCAATTGGGGGATTAATTTACTCATAAAGTGAAGTCGATGAAGCTTGTTTTTCTTAGAATCTTTGACCTGGAAGCGATCCCATGTGTCACTGGTTTATGTGTCCACGTCTGGGAAAGGCTGCACTGACACCATTCTACAGGGTTCACTGGATTTCCTCTAAATCAACATGTTCTGAAATGAGAGTCCTCAGGCTTCTTTAGTGAGAGGGTGTTGCATATTTCACAGCCTGTGGGGGCTGTTAATGCAAATATTGCATCTCTCTCTACTCCTGTGCTGTTTTTGTCTCACTGTCTTTAATCCCACAAAGACTACCAGGTATAGCTTGGCCAAGAATGTGTTGATGCCTTCATAGTATTAAAAAAAAAAAAAGAATGTGTTGAATGGAGGTTACATTTTATATCCTTTCCTATGTCTCAGTGCCTTGTGGGGTAACTCTGGGGTGTCTCCGGATGGGCAGGGTGACAGGTCTCTCTGTTGAGATTGTCTTACCGGGAAGTTTGGGCAGGAACAACCTTCAGACTCTGAAGTAGCTTGGGATCACTTGGGATGTCTGCTTTATAAGAGTTAATGAGCATGACTCAAGCAGGTTAATAATATTCCTTAGCAGCCATGTGGGACGGCTTCCACTTCTGCCACCCATACAGGCTGACGCAGGGCATGCAGTAACTGCTCCAGTGGGATCTGCAAAGGAATGAATTTACAGGGACAATCTGAATTTATGGGGACGTTTATAGGGACAATTTGGAATAGACTTAAAAAGCCATTCCTGGTGATGAAGGACTTGTTAGCGGTGAAAAATTAGGCAAAAAGACTCTCAACCCACTTCCTCGTGTGATGCGTGCGATGTTCCTTCCTATGCTCCACCGGGGAAGGCAGGTCCGCCCCGCCCACGGTGGCGGCTAAATACCTAGGCTTGGAAATGCCGCGACAGGGTTCGTGTCCCCGTCAGATTTTCCGCTCTCCACGAGGTCCTGCACGCTCCAGTCCCACAGGCAGGTAGACACCGGGCCGGGAGTCTGCGGCTGAGCCCAGTGCGGGTGGATCCCTGACGGTAGGAAAGGTGTGTAGGAAAAGAGGTGGCCAAAATGTGCTTAAACGGGAGGCCAGCGATCAGGAGGACTCCTGGGCGGGCCGCCAGCTGGCCCGGTGACCTTGGGGGAGCGACTCAGTGTCTGGGCCGAGGTGTTGAGCCCGCGTCTACCTGCAGGTCCAGCGGCTGTCGGTTTTCCTCCCTCCTTTCCCGCCCGCCCGCGCCAGGTAGGCCTGAGCTGGCTTCTCCCGTGAGCCGGTGTTTGGGGTTTCTGTGTAGACGGCCCCGCCCAGGCGGATCCGAGGCCAGAGACGCGAGGGGGGGATGGGCGGGGGGGCGACGCTCGCCGCACAAGCGGGGACCCGGGGCCGCGGGCTGCGGTGGGGCGCACTGACCCTGCCCCGCTGCCAGGGGGCACATGCCACCTGGTTCCCACCGCCGCCTCCCAACCACTCCCCGCCGATCCTCCTCCGCGGCGAGTCTCCGCTCCCTGCACCGGATCCTAAGGCAGGGCGCTGAGAGTAAGACGCGGACAGGGGAAGGGACCAGTCTTTGGGGAAACGCAGGGCCCAAGACCGAGGGCTCCCCGTGAAGAAGGGACGGTCAGTGGCCTGGGCCGGCTTCTCCGCGATCCAGAAACGGCAGAAGCCGGCGCCCTGTGCCTGCGGGAGTGCGCGCTCCGTCCCGATGCGCCCCTCCTCTGCCTCCCCTCCCCTGCCATTCTCTTCTTTCCTCTTGTAGCCCACAATGGGGATGCCGTCCTTGCTGCTTTGCGGGCTGTCCATTGCTCTTCCGGTATTTGTCAGAGCAGGTACGTTCGGTGTGTCCTCAGGTTGCAGAGGCCGCCCTCGTCCCCCGTCTCCAGGACCCTCACTGGGAGCCCCCACGCGGACTGTTGGGGAGTCGCGCGGCACCCGCGCCTGGCTGATGACCCTGCGCGATGGCCAAGCGGAATTCCGCGGAATGGGAAACAGCGAGTTTCAGTTCCAGAGTGCTCTGACGCTCAACTCCAAATGTCACCGTTGAGCTTTGAGGTGACTTTGGAGGGGAGAAAGAATTAGGCAAATTTACAAGTCCACTTGAGTGAAACTGCTCAAACGGAGATACTACTGTCTGTTTCATATGACAAAAGGATTATTTTATGACCAGAGTGAAAGCAAAGAAACCATCAACAGCACAGATTTCTTCCAAAAACTACTAAGTAATTTGGTATAAATGAATTTGAAAAGTTGAACCAGTTTTTTACAATCCACTTTGGGATGAGGTATCTTTCACTCAAGAGAAAGTCAAATAACTGGGTGGCAGAGCTGAAAGAGAACAGGATAAGGAGGGCTCTTTCTCTCTGTAGGAGGAGGACGAAAGAATTACAGGTCTTAGGAGAGAAAGGAAAGAGGGAAATCACTCCGAATAAGGAAGAGGTTGGTGAGGAGGAAGCTGAGTTAATTGTGTCTTATGGATACATTTGAAGAACTTGGAATTATATTAATACTTTCAAATCAGCTGGCCATTTTTAGGAAACTCCCAGACTAAGGAAACCCCCAAATAAAATTTCAAATTGGCTAGAAAATTGGAGAGACATTTGTTAAAACTAATAATAAAACTGGAGTTTTCTTTCATGATTAATTATTTTTGTTTCTCCATTTCTTTCCCTAGATGTATGCAAGGACATTCATAAGTCAAATGAGATGCCTTCAGTAGGCCAGCCTTTTGCTTTTAATTGTACATACCCTCCAATAACATCTGAGGAAGTCGATGTAGCATGGTATAATAATTCTAGCAAAATCCCAATATCCAAAAACATTGAGTCTAGAATTCACCAGGAGCAGACTTGGATTTTGTTTTTCCCCCTTGCCTTGGGGGACTCAGGAGTCTATCAATGTGTTATAAAGTAAGTTCCTCATTTAAAATAGAACTAACTCTTGAATGTATATATATGTGTATATGTTAATTCTTTTAGGAAAATTCTTTTAAATTGCTGAAAGATGATTTTCAGTGAATACATTTTGAAACAGATTTGTAAATCATTTTTGGAACATGATATGCATCTTTTCCCATTGAAATGGTGCCTTGGGCTCACAAGGCATGTTTATCTCTATGTCATTGCTGCCATCTTTCTCGTAATGCCAGAAGTTTTTGTGACAGGTAGCACATCCAGATGGGAATACACCTCCTTTCGGCCCTTTTCATAAGGAATCCGGGCAAGGCAGAGATTTAGCAGTTGGTAAGCATCGGATATGTTCCAAAGCCCACCCAAGGCCCTGTGCTGGGAAGAAATAAATGTGTGGCGCAGGCCTCGTGGCGACGGTGGCAGCTGAAAAGCATGTGCCCCATCAAAGGTAGCTGTTTATTCAGCTCAAGACCATCTTCTGATTTTTCCAGGGAACCTGGAAATTAGAATTTGTGTGTGTGTGTGTGTGTGTGTGTGTGTGTGTGTAACTTCAATTTGTAAAGCCTTGTAGGGCCTGAATAAAACACATCTGTAGACTAAATTTGGCCTGAGGGCCACAATTTTGTGACTTCCACACTAACTTTTGTGACCTTAACAAATTATTTGATCTCTCTGAGCCTTGGTTTTCTTGTCTGTAAAATGGAAACGATACTGGCCTGATAGGGTTGGGGTGGAAACAAACTGAGATCATGTGTCAAGTAGGTACTCCACTCTCCCTGTTTTGTTTTGATCCTGCGGTAGGATTTGCTGGCCCCTTTCTGTGTCCCAGGACGGCCCATTTCCCACTCTGTTTCATGCCAGGTTCCTCATTTCCATGCACCTGACAGACTCATGGTACAAAATTACTTACTGGGTGGTGCACAGTGGAAGTGGTCATTAGCCTTGTTTGCCTGGCTCCTTTCTGCGGCTTTGCTCACTAAGAGGTCACTGTTGAGGGGTTTTAGAAGTCTTCTCTCCCATTTTAGCCTAGGATGTGAATTATTAACTAGACTTCAAGATCATACATCATACAAATTCATCTGGATTTCAGAGCTAGGTTTAAAATATTTAAATCTGGGAGCTGTGAAATAAGGAAAAATAATCTTTCATGGAAATTAAACAAAGATAATTTCTGTCATGGAAGAAAATGAACATGAATTCTCCCAGATTGTTAACATCTGGATATGATACATATTCAGTAAACTATACATTTTTACTTTGAAATAATTTCAAATTTAAATAAAATTTGCAAGAATAGTATCAAGAACTCCTGTCTACCCTTTGTCTAGATTCTTCATTTTTCTTTTATCAAGGGATTTATTTATTCAATGTATTTAACAAACTGTTATACAATATAGGGCTATCTGCCAGATACATTTGATCCTTAGAAGGTAAGTTTGATTATATCCGCATTTTACAGATGAAGAAACTGAGGCACAGAGAGGTTAAGTAACTTGACAAAAGTCACCCAGCTGATAAGTGGCTAGACCAGGATTCAAAACATAGTTAGCTTCCAGCATCTGTGTTCTTTGCGATTATGCTGCCTAGTGTAGATTCTTCATTTTTAAGAACATTTTCTCACATTCACCTTATAATTTTCTTCCTTGTCATATATATGTGTGTATTTTTTTCCTAAACCACTTTTTAAACCATTTAAGTTATATGCATCATACCCTTTTACTCCTTAATATTTCAATGTATATTTCTTATTTCCTTTCTATGTATATTTATACATTTCTTAAGTAATCCCAGTATAGTTATCAAATTCAGAAAATTTAATCATCAGACAATACTTTAATCTATAGTCTATATTCTAATATTATCAACTGTCCCCTTGAGGACCTTGATAACTGTTTTCATTCCTTTTAGTAGAGGGACCAATCCAGGATCATGTGTTCCATTTGGTTGCCATAAATCTTTAATCTCTTTTAACCTGGAACAGTTTCCCAGTCTTTGTTTTTCATGACACTGACATTTTTAAGGAGTACAGGCAATTTTTTTATATTATATCCTGCACTGGGGTTTGCCATGTGTTTCTTCCTGACTGGGTTCAGGCTGTGCCTTTTTGGCTGGAGTGCAAGGTAACAGCATGTGTCCTCTTCAGAGGAACACTCAGAGGAACACGACATCCATGGCCCTGGTCAGTGATGTTCATTCTGATCACTTGGTTAAGGTGCTGTGCAGTCTCTCTGCTGTATAAATACCATTGGTCCTTTTGTAATAAATGATTTGTGAGATGCATATTGTTTTGTTGGATACAGAGGGTTTGCACAGTGCCTTCAAAATTATTTGAAAAGATTTGAAGATGAGCTGAATCATTTGATTTTGTGATTGTTTAAGCGTTTATGAGGTTCAATCTTTCTTGCAGGGGTAGAGACAGCTGTCACAGAATACATGTAAACCTAACTGTTCATAAAAAGTATTGGTGTAATGACACTTATGGACATGGTCTGCCGAATTTATCAGATGAGTACAAACAAATACTACAAGTTGGAAATGATGACAGCCTTACATGTCATCTCAACTTCCCGAAGAGTTGTATTTTGTATCCAATAAAATGGTATAAGGTAAAAAAAAAAAAAAAATCTACTATTGATATTTTCCCTCCTCTTCTTTAAAACCCACTTGTTTTTTCTAGGTTAAGTTGTATCTTTTAAGGCAGAATTGGTAGAGATTTGTGTGCCTAAGATAGATTTGTTAGCTACTAGCTATTGATAATGTTACCCTGCTAATTATTTATTTTAAAATATTTGGTTATTATAGCTTTGGAATATTTTATTGTTTGGAACCACCACCTCCCCCAGTTGTCCTTGTTTTTAGGCTATCATTGGCTATTCTTTTTTCTTCTAACATTAATTAATTTGTTTGTTTGAATGGGTACTACCTGTATACGGTTTAATAATCACAAATTATGTCACCCCCTGGAAAACGTTTTTCCTGTTCCTGTTCCATATTTGCCATGGGCCCATCACACCTTTCCCAATATGTGGTTGCCATTACTATTTCCTTGCTATTATTCTGGCATAATGCTATACAAGCAAATAAAAATATATATATTCTACCTTTTCCTTTTTTATGCAAATGAAGCATCTTGTGTTCATCTTTCTGCACCTGTGTTTTCACATTCAAACGTTCTCTTTTCTTGACTGCTTTGGCATAAGCTGACACAGAAGTCATGATCCTTGGCGTGGAGGAGCACAGCCTAGTTATTTGAGATTGGAATTAGTTTTCCCTAACTGCTGATTAGCACTTGCCGGCATAACCATCTGGGTCATGAATTTTCTTCATGAGAAGGTTTTCATCTATTGAGTCAAACGTCTTTAATAGTGATAGGATTATACAAAAATCTTACTTTCTCTTAAGTGAGTTTTGGTAAGATTTTGTTTTCCTAGAAAACATTATTTCATTAAAGGTTTCATATATGCTGGCAAATTGTTTATTATCTCATCTCTTTTAATGTCTGCTTCTCTGGTAAGTTTCATCTTTAGTCATTATTTGTTCTCTTTCTCTGTTTCTCTCTCTCTCTCTCTCTCACACACACACACACACACACACACACACATATAATTACTTGATTAGTTTCATCAGAAATTTGTCAGTGCTATTACTCTTTTCAAAATGCAAAGTTTTTGCTTTGTTGATCCTCTCTATTATATGTTTCATGTTCATTTAGGTTCCTTCATTTCCCTCTTTCACAAGGAATGTGGACATGAATGTCCTTATACCTGTCTTTTAATGCACGTTTGCCAGGGTGTTTTTCTAGGGTACGTGACTATTAGCGCTAGAATTGCATGGATATGAATAAAATATTCAGTTGCCAGATTGCTTTACAAAAGTTTTTATTAGTTTATACTCTCTCCAGGAGTATTATAGATTTCCTAAAACCGTTTTTAGACATTGTATTGTAAGACTTTGTGTTTTTAACATTTGGTGGTATAAAATGTGCCTTATTATGGTTTTACTTTGTTTTTTCTTAATTATTAATGAGATTTACCATGTTTTAAATATGTTTATTGTCCATTTTTGAATCTTCTTCTGAACTGCCTACTCATATCTTTTGTCATATTTCTTTTCTTTTTCTTTTTTTGCCATTTCCTTGCTGACTTATAGGAGATTTTATGTATTTATCTATCCTGGGTACCAAATTTGGCATGCATTTAAAAAAAAACCCATTTAATTGAAGTATAACATACATATAGAATGCATCAATCTGGCCAAGTGCAGAGGCTCACGCCTGTGATCCCAGCACTTTGGGAGGCTGAGGCGGGAGGATTGCTTGAGGCCAGGAGTTCAAGACTAGCCTGGGTAATATAGTGAGAACTCATCTGTACCAAAAAAAAAAAAAAAAAATTAAGAATACACCAAACATAAGTGGATGAGCTTGATGGATTATCAGAAAGTGAATACCCCTTTTAATTACCCCTTCACATCAAGGTCAAGAAAGAAAACATTACTAGCACCTCTTAAGGCCCACCTCTTGCAAAAACTATGCCTTCCTAGTCTGCAAATATAACCACTCCCCCTACTTACACTCTCATAGATTAGATTTGCCAGTTTTTCAACTTTATTTAATTTGGATAATATTATATATGGTATTTTGTGTCTAGCTTCCTTGGCTCAATAGCAAACCAGTGAGAATCACCTATGTTGTTGCAGGTGGCTAGAGTTCATCCCTTTTCATTGCTGTATAGTATTTCATTATTATTGTTATTATCAGACTCTAGTTATTTCCAATTTTTGAATATTAGAAATAAAGTTGATATGAATATTCTTATATGATTGGTTCACTCATAAATGCAGTTTTTGTGGAGTACTTTATATAAGAGTGAAATAGTTGGGTGATAAGGAATATGTTCAAAGTTAGTAGAAAATGTCAAAGCATTCTCCAAATTGGTGTGCCAATTTGCAGTTCCAGCAGAGGCATATAACATCATTTATGTTCCTATAGCTGACAGCACATGGTATTATTAGTCTTTGTAATTTTTGCTATTAGAATGACTAATTGTGTCTCATTTTGGCTTCAGTTAACAATTTCCCTGATAAATGATAAAGTTGATCTCCTCTAAGTCTGCCTAGTGGCCATCGTATGTTGTGTGTGTGCACATGTGTGTATGTAACTTTTTCTGTGGAGTGCTTGTGAAAGTATCTGGTCTACTTCTCTATTTGTTTGTTTTGTCCAGGGGTCCCCAAACTTTTTCTATAAAGGGCCAAATAGCAAATATTTTAGGCGTTGAAAGCCAGATGGTTTCTGTTTTAATACTCAGCTGTTTTGGTAGTGCAAAAGTGGTTGTAGACAATATGGAGATGAATGGGTGCAGTTGTGTTCCAGTAACATTTTATTTACAAAAATAGGCAGTGAGCCAGATTTGGCTCGTGGATAGTTTGCTGGCCTCTTGTTTTGTCTATTTATTATTGATTTGTAGTAGTGCTTTATATATCTAGATATCAGTAATAAAGTGTTGCGAGTATGTCCTTCTAGGCAGTGGCTTGCCTTTTTACTCTCATAATGGGGTCTTAAACTTCATAATTTTAATGTAGTCTGCTGCAATAATTTTTCTTGTGATTAGTACTTTCTGTGACTTGTTTAAAAATCTTTTCCTACCCCAAGGTAACAAGATATTTTTCTATATTATCTTCTAAAGGTTTTTATTTTTTTCTTTTTCTATTGATATAGTGTTAGGTAGGGTCGAATTTAATTTTTTTCCATACAAATTTATAGTTTACCTGTCTTTTCCACGTTGCTTTACATGCCACCTCTGATTTAAATCAAATTCTCTGTAGCATTGCATTATCCTATTGTTTATCCTTGTTAATTATTATGGCATTGGATAAGTCTTGTGAGTTTTGTATACATCCTCTGTTTTTTCTTTTTCCTAAATGTTGTCTTGGCCATTCTAATCTCTATTTCTGTAGAATTTGGAGGTGGACTCAGAGCTGTGATTAACAATCCTGAGTGGGCATCAAATTCTATCCTATGGACCCTTTAAAAACTCAGATGTTTGGCCTCACCCTCTACAAACTGAAGCAGATCACCCGAGGGTGGGGCTCAGGCACCTTTGCTTTAAAAACAATCCCTGGGCATGAGAAGGCAGGAGGAGCCCGGGAGGCAAGCAGTATGAGGAGGAGAGATCTGTCCCACCAGCTCAGATTCAGAGACCCTAGTGGTGGCTTTGGTTTTGCCTAACTTGTTTTCAGACCTTGTATCACTCATTGGGCCTCTGTGTTTTCATCTGTAAAATGAGAGGGTTGGGATCAATCCTCCAGGTACTTGGATCCTGTTATCTTCCTAGCGCCATGTCCAGCGCTGGGATGGAGGGAGAGAGTCCCTGTCTTCAGAGAAGTTACAGTTGACCAGAAGAGGCAGAGAAATCAACTAAGAATTTTATTATAGCCTGAGGTGAACATAAAGAGAGGAAAATTAAACCAGACCCTGGGAGTGTCTGAGGAAATGCTTCCTGGAAAAGGCGACTGTTGGATGGTGCTTGAACAATGAACAGCAATTAAGCAGGTAGGGCAGGAAGGAAGGTGGGTAATTAGAGGACATCAGCATGTGCTGAGGTATTAGGTGAGACAGAAACCGTTGTTTGGGTGAGAGCTTTGGGCACATGTAGCAGTGGGGTTAGGTGACGCTGGAAACTAGAGATCTTGTATGCGAATTGAAACAGTGTTTTCCCACCTAAGGTATTTCAACAGCGAATGCTACCCCCAGGAGAATGACATGATCAAATTGACATTTGAGTAAAGTCCTGTGGGCACTGCAGTGAATACATTGGAAGAGCTTGGGAATGGGTGGCATGTTGGTCATGTGGGCTAGTGTAGAAATTCAGTTAAGAGTTGGGACTTGTTTAAGAGCATATGAAGCAGAACTGAAAAAATGAGGGAAAAGGAGAAGAGGAAGTGGGGGATGCATGTCTGATGGCCCCTGTTGTCCCCGCTAATTGTAAGGAGATGTTATGGAGGAAATTTGAAAGAGTGATGTAGGCGAATAGGCGGGGGAGAGAATTGAAGGAGAGGCAAAGAATTTTCTAAGTTAAAGGCCATGAATTTTTAGTGGTCCCAAGACACCCATTCCTGTGATTATCTCTTGTCACCTATTGCACTCACCTGGTTGTGGGCATGGAGGGAGGGATGAAAGGATCCGTCAGGACAGGGGTTCTGCAGAGTGAATGTGCTGGAAGGACAGAGAGGCATGGAGGTGAGGTATTGGGAAGGGAGCGATTGAAGTGATGGGCACATGAGTCCAGAATGGGTAGGAAGGATAATTAGGAGAAGTATAAGGGTCAGGTGGACTGATTGCAGTTAAGATAGAAAAGTGGGTTGGATGGATAGAAAGTTCAGATAGAAAAATATGATGGATATAGTGGGAAGAAACTATCTATCATGAGCCTTATTATCCTGTAGAAGCTATCAAGCTAAAAAAAAAACAAAAACAAAAACAAAAATCAAGAACAAAACAACCAAACTACCCTACATTTTCCAGAGTCGCCTACAGCTAAGGTTCTGGATATGATTCAGTGTCTCCAGCTGGCTTTGCTGAAAGGTGAGGATAGTGGATCTTCCTGCCTTTTCTACTAGAAAGCACAGCCCTGGAGACATGGACATTTCTGCAGCTGTGTTCCAGGGCCCAGTCTCCAGCCTTGCGGGAACTGAATCTTCCAATTTGTTTGTTGGGGTGGCTCTTCCTGATGTGGCACGAATTGATGTGCTCTAGTTGCCTAAGTGGCAACTCCTGGTCTCTGAATTGCAGGTGGCGTGGTTCAGGTTGCATTCTTTCTTGCATGTCGTGGTGGAGGTAGCAGCTCTCCTGGCGAGCTAGTTCTGCAGCGTGGTGCTATGGGCCTGGACGCCACTCCCTGAGTACTTTCCCACATTTTATAAAGTACCTAATGTCCTGTTTTGAGTCCTTTTTCTGCATAAAAATAGCCAGAAAAATTTTTTTTGTTGTTTTCTGCAATTAAATCCAGACGGAGAGAGATGGCCTCAAAGCATTGTTTCGAGGATTAAATGACATCCATCTATCCACTAAGCATTGGTACATAATAAGTACCTACTAAATGAATAAATATTAGATATCATTATTTAGTTAAAGGAATGAAAGAGCTGGAATAATAGAAAATTGTAATCAGAAAGAGTATACTTGATTTTAAAAATTTTGAGACAAGGATTCTGGATAATAGCAAAGTCCAGGCTATGTCTGGGAGAATTGAAAACTGAGAGGTATCAAGGTCCTTGAAATTGAAGGGTTTCTGGAAAAGGGATATTTAAACATCTATTCGGATTTTTTAAAAAATTAATAGCTTGATAGTCTCTGCGGGATAAAATGGCTCATCATGGAGAGTCTCTGCCTCCCACATCCATCATAGTTTTCTAGATAAAAAGTATCCATACTTGGAAAGGCAGCAATGTTTCCAATTTGTTTTTTGTTCCAATCCCAATTTGCTCCTCACCGCAAGGGTTTTTGCCCCCACCACTGTGCTTAATCTGTACTTGCTGAGGTTACATCTGGCTCTCCAGTTGCGAAAGTAACATTCATTTTCAATCTTGAGTGTGATCTCCCGGTGGCATTCAACACTGCTGGGTACTCCCATCAGCTGGGAACTCTCTCCTCACTTCCTTCCCAGACTTATTCTTTGTCTCTTATCTTATTTTATTTTATTTCTGGCCCTTTTTAGTAATCATAACTGGATTCCCATCCTCTACATTTGGATCTTAGATTTTGGGGTTCCCATGGTTTCAGCCATGGTCATCTTTTGTGCTTGCTTTGCTTACATCCAAATGGAAAGGTTTGCTTTGCTTGTATCCAAATGGAAGATGTATAGAACCATCTATATACAGGTGCCTCCCATCTCTCCCCCACCTTGATCTTTCTCCCAACCTCCAGAATCTATTGTCAAACGGCCTAACATATGTTCATTCTACTTAGTCATTCCCCACTTCACAAATCACCTCATTCACCATGTTGAGAGCTACTTTTTATCTTACCCCAAATCTGATCTGTGTTTTCTTTGCTTTCTCTCTTCTACTGACCAACATCTTTGCCTACCCAAGCTGGGATCATAGAAGTCCTGTTCCCTCTCCATATCCCAAATTTGTCACTAAATTCTGTAGATTGGAACTGCTTAAAATCATTAGTTTTTGTTCCCTTCTTGCTATCCCCATGGTCCTGCCTTAGTTCAGGCTCTATTTAGCCTCATATTATGGAAATAGCACTTCCAATTGCTTCTTGGTCTTTTGGATTGTTCCCGCTTTAATCCTACACACAGCAACTGGAAGGATCATTCTCAAAAGCAAATCTGATCATCTTACTCTCTTGCTCAAAAAGCTTCAGATGTTCCTCTCCTCTTCACGGTTTCCGAAGGTCGGGCTCTGACTGCCTTGCCAGTTTTATCTCCATCACTCTCCTGCACCCACCACCTCTGAGCCAGAGCGCTTGGGGCTGTTTTGTGTCTCTGAAACATTGTAGTTGCTGGGTCAGGGGTGTTCTTCTTGGTCCCTAAAATATAAAGGGCACTCAAGTGTTGGCTACTATTATTATTCATATTTTAATTTTGAATCTTGTTAGTGAGATGTCATCCCCAAATTTTAAAATAAAAATCAAAGCTTGCTGAGAGTTTAAACTCTAAAATAATGCTCCAGGGGGTCAGAATAGAGGCAATCCAAGTTGCTGTAAAGGGACAGAGTGGCCTCAGCTATCAAGGCTAAACTTTAATATGATTAAAATTTGCATATCTTGAACGAATGAGTCAAACAGAAAGGGGACTGCTCAACAATGGAATCATAGACAAGGAGGCCCTGAGCCTGTGCCTCACCAGGAACTATCCAGGGAAGACTGTCCAGGGAAGAGGTTCCAAAGTTCAAGGACTCAAAATTTATGCTCGTCCGTACCCTAAAGTCCTTGGAGATACCACACTATTAGAGTCTGATGCCTTCACCCATCTGACTCTGATTAGTAACTTCCATTCTGTTTGGTAAGCAACTATCTGATTATAATTTGGTTTCCCATATCAGCTGTTTACAGAGAGATAATGTAAGACTTCTAGGAAGTCATATTTCACATTGTAAATAAACAAATGCTCATTCTGGCGTTATTTATTGAGTTTCACCCTGTAAGGTGGAGCTATTCACACTCTTCCAGGGATGGAGAATGAAATGTGACTCTGAACTGTGGCTAAGTAAGGAGAGAGCTCAATATTTGGGCAATTAAATCTTTATTTGATTAGGGGTTTATGTGTTCGTTTTATCTATTACAGTGGTCCCCAGACTTTTTGGCACCAGGCATTGGTTTCATGGAAGACAATTTTTCTATGGATAGGAGCGCAGGGGTTGGGTAGCAGAGCTCTGCGGCCCAGTCCCTAACAGGCGGTGGACTGGTACCAGTCTGTGGCCCAGGTATTGGGGACCGCAGATCTATTAGATTGTGAGCTTCCTGAGGACAGGGACTGCATCTTATTTCTGCATGGCCAGGGCTCTCCCAGTGCTAGCAAAGAGCAGGAACTCAAATACCTGAATGAGGAAATGGACTCAATTAACTCAGCAGTCACTCTGAGGCGTGGAGCTTCCTGAAGGATGAAGAACGTGTTTGAGAGTGAGTTCAGAAGTGGGCCCAGGAGGTGACAGAAGTGGCGCTTAGCATGAGAATGTGAGCCTGGGATAGGACAGAAGAGTGGGAGGCTTGCCCTCTGGGTAGTTGCTGACAACTTCAAGAGAAAGGCCTTCCTGAGACTGACTGTCTTCAAGTTGGATGGGCGTGTAGCTGTGTGCTTGTTGATGTGGTGGAGCCAGGGAGGACATGAGAAGTGATGTGATATCTGCTCTCCGTACGTCTGGCCAGCATTTTTTGACTATTGTTCTAATAGGATGTTGGTGAAGAGTTATTTTGGATTTCTATCAAGTCTAACCCTGATGAATGGAGAAGGTGTGACTAGGCCTGTAACACAGTAGAAGCAGTCATTATTCACCTGGGCTTGCAGTCTTGACAAAGGCGAGTGGGTCCATTAGATGGGAGTCCAATGCGGGGCACAGGCCCCTGCCGGTGGAGGACATACTGACCTGCTCATGTCCTCCTGCACAAATCCTTTATGACCCAGGCCCAACGTTCCTCTGTGCAGTCTTCCTTCCGGTCTATGTAGGCCTCTCTCCTCCCAACTCCTGTTAGACTTGATGTTTGTGTAACTCATTTTAGCATGTAAAATATTCTTTGTCAAATCTTCTGGACGTTGTATCTGTCTGTCATATATCTATGTATCATCTGTCTAGCTATCAACGTATACACACGTGCATAAAAACTGGGCAAGGAATTCCTGTTTTGTGCATCTATCTATCTATCTTGTCTTTCTACCTACCTACCTATCTATTGTCTTCTGCTTAGATTGTAACTTACATAGTATGGTGCTAATAGAAATGTAACTAGTACCCCGAAATACTCATTAAATTGAATTTTGGTTTTCGTTTTGTTTTTTTTTTTTTGTATTTAGGACTGTAAAGAGATCAAAGGAGAGCGGTTTACTCCTTTGGGAATCAAGCTTTCAGTGAACAATGTCTCGGCAGAGGACGGAGGGAGCTATGCATGTCAAGCCAGACTGACACACATGGGGAAAGAGTACACGGTTTTAAATGGCATCACTGTGAACACCAGTAAGTGTGCTCCCATCTGTCACCTCGCCTTCCTCTTGGCTTTGTGGGAGCTGGCTTGAGGCTTTGGGTTTTGGGTGGAAGTGAATCTGGATCTTGGTTTTCCTGAAGGTGAGGTGAGCAGGCTCTCAAACCTGTCAGCGTGGGAGCGGAGGGTAGGAAGAGTGAGGGAAGATGGCATAAGCATCTTAGTTCTCTCATCTGAAGAAACAGAACACTCAAAACTCTGGGCTTATTTGTGAAATTAAATGAGATCAGAGTAGCTACTGGGGTGCCTGACAAAGCGCAGGTGTTCTGAAAATGGTAGACGTGATTCCTGTTACTCTCATTCTCACAGCCTTCACTGTGGATACTTCGGTGGGTCATTGCAGCCGTGGCCTCCCCTGCCTCGAATGCGGCAGAGTTCAGGGGCTCTGGATGTGGTCCCAGGATAGCTCATGGGGTTTCAGTTCTCAACCCAGGGCAGCCAGCTCTCTTGAACATATGCCCTGGAGTTTTGAAAGTAGAATCTTAGGGGTAGAAGAAACCCTAAAAATAATTTAGCTCAAGCCACTCATTTAATAGAGGCCCAGGAGGGAAGCAACTTAACCAAAGTTCACAAAGCTGTTAGTGTCAGAAACGAGCCCTTGTCTAACCCTATGGCCTCTGCCCCACCACTCCTCATGCATTCTTACACATGCCCTGATGAAAGCAGTATTAGATTCAGTATAAGCCACAATGTTTCATACTTCCACACTTTGCCCTCTGCTGTTGCCTCTGCCTAGAGACCCCTCCTCACTCTTCTTTACTTTTATAAATCCTACTCATCCTTCAAAATGCAGCTGAGGTGCCAGGGACTGGGGCCCAGAACTGGGGCCTTCAGTGCCCAGGCCAGCATTTGTCTTTCTAAATACACTGGGCAAGGAATTCCTGGTGTGGTGCCTTTGGCTCTTCCTTTAGTAGAGAGTTGTTTTTGATATTTACTCATCTAGATGGAAAGAACTAAAGGCTGGATATTTCTTTGACTTAGACCTTCATAATTGTCACTAATTTCTGTCATACTTCGAAGTGCTGGGGGAGAGTGAGTTCTGACTTAACGGTGTGGCTCCCTGGGGGAGTGTCCGGCGTGGGTGGCTCTCTGCGGCCTCTGCAGGAGGGGTCCTTCATTCCCTAAGTCCAGCAGCTTCCTGTTTTCCAGCTGTTCTTCCACAGAGTCCTTCCTCTCTAGTCCTCCAGTGTTCTTTGCTGCAATTACTTACTTGATTTAAATGTTTTTGGGTGGTCTTCAGCTTTAATTTTCCTTGCAAAACACCCCTTAAATTAAGAAGATCAATTGCATCAGATTTTATGATTTTCATACTCTTGGTTTTTCTGCTGTTATTATCTCTCTGAAAATAGGCACCTTCCTCATGTTCACAGTTGAATCCCTGGCACCTAGCTCAGTGCCTGGCCTAGAGTAGGCACAGATCTGTTTACTAGCTGAAAGACTGGCTACTATAATGCTTTAGTTTACATTGGCAGCTGAGGGAATTTTTTGAAAGATGAAATTGCTAAGGTAAAATGAAGACTCCCTTGAGAAGTCGCTGAGTCCAATAGTCTGTATTTCATGTTCAATAAACATTTATCTATAATCTGTAATATGCCAAAGATTATATTAGACCCTGATAATTCAAAAATGAAAAGCATTGTTTCTTCTATTGAGAAACCCTCAGCCTGGTGGGAGAGAATCTAGAGATGCAGATGGATCATTTTAATATTACGTGCTAAGGATGAAGTTATAGACAGTGTCTGGGGAACAGAAAAAGAATTGGAAAGAGCCACAGGCGTGACAAGCAAATGGTCTGGGAAAGGCTTCTGAGAGGAAATGAGTTCTCAGCTGCATTTTGAAGGATGAGTAGGATTTATAAAAGTAAAGAAGAGTGAGGAGGGGTCTCTAGGCAGAGGCAACAGTAGAGGGCAAAGTGTGGAAGTATGAAACATTGTGGCTTATATTGAATCTAATACTGCTTTCATCAGGGCATGTGTAAGAATGCATGAGGAGTGGTGGGAGCAGAGGCCATAGGGTTAGACAAGGGCAAGGTCAAGCGGGCCGCTTATAACATAGGCTCTACCACGCGGCTGCAGGAGGGCCTGTGCATGGTGCAAGTGCAGAGTTTCAGGGCTGCATTTGTGATGGGAGAGTCTTGAGATGGTTGGAAGCTGGAGTAGAAGAGGGGCCTGAGGCCTGGAGACCACTTAGGAGGCTGCTGCAATATCAGAAGAGTGCTGGTAGTCTGAACTGGGGAGGAGGCAGTGGGAGATTTCTCCTTCAGGCGGTCACTCAATAATTCTTTGCTGAGCACCTAACAAGGCCAGGTCCTGTGCTAGGCAGAGAGAACGTGATGTTTAGGAAAACAGCCATGACCACAGCTCTGATAAAGCTTGAAGGCTGAGGGGGAGGAGAGGCAGAGATTAATCAGATAATGCACTAATGAGATGTGTAATTACTGGGGAGATTCAAGCAAGGAAGGAAAGGAAAATATGAGATGAAGCAGAGAAGAGCCTGTTGAGAAGGCAGTGGCTCAGGGAAGGCTTTCTGATAATAGCGACGCTGGTAGGAAGCATTACCTGTGTGATGGGGTGGGCGAGACTTCTACAGACTGAGGGAGGAGCGAATGTGAAGGTCCCTGGAACAAGAGGGACTGTGGTGTGTCTGAAGGAGGGAAAGCAGGCCGGTTGGGCTGGAGTGATGCTGAGTGAGGGAGATCATGGTAGGTGATGAGGTTGGAGAAGTATCAGGAGCCAGGGTCAGGTAGGAACCTGCAATCCAGAGTGAGTAGTGTGGATTTTATTCTAAGGACGATGGCAAGCAGCCAGACGGATTGAAAACAGGGAGTAGTGTGACATGATTTTCATTTTTGCAACAGCAGACTGGCAGCTGTGCACAGAGTGATCCATACAGAAACAGGAAGAGTGGTTAGGAGGTAGGTGCGGAAGTGCAGGTGAGACATCACGTAAGTGCAGTTATTAATACTATGGTTGTGTTGAAGATGGAGAGATGTGGATGGGTTCAAGGCATCATAGGAGGTAAAATACACAGGTCTTAGTGGTGGATTCAATGTGGGCTATATGGCAAGGTCAGGTAAGCTAGCCAGGCCTTTGGCACATGCAGTAAACTGGATGGTGACGCTGTCAGTGAAATAAGATAGCTCTGGAGGAAGACCAGATTTAGGAGTAAGACCGTAAGTTTGGTCATTGGTAGGCTGAGTATGAGGTGCCTTTGGATGCCCATGTGAGGTGCAGGGCAGGCCATGGCCTCTCTGGGTCTGGAGCTTAGAGGAAGGCCTGGGGGTAGGACCTTCAAAGTCATTGGCCTTTAGATGATAACTGAAGAGGTGGGTGTCAATGAGATTGCTTAGGAAAAGAACAGAGATCAGTCAACAGAGGGCTTAGAAGTGAAGAAAGAGGCACAGACTGAGAAGTGTCAGGAGGTAAAAGTAGTTGGACTTGGTGACTGATAAGTTGAAAAAAATGAGAGAAAAGCTGTTGCCTAGAATGAGTTCCAGATTTTATGTGTGTGTGATCTAGTGGGGGATGGTGCATTAACTAGCTGGGGATAACTTTTGTTTGGCACATGCTGAATGTGAATAGTTTATAGAATGGATAATTTTTATCACCATCATAAAAGACATGTGTTTTTGCCTTTTTCCTAGCTTCCCTCTTAAAACTTTTCCATGTCCCATCCCAAATATAGGAGGAATATGGGACATTTAGGTGATTGCTAAATTTTGATAGACAAATGGTGAAGGCAAGAAGGGAGAGAGGCTACGAGACAGGGAGTCAATACAGGGAGATGATCCTAAAGTGTGGTGGTAGGATGGAAGAGCAGGAAGAATAACAGAAGGGGAAAGGGTGTAAAAGAATATGGAAATGCAGAGTTGGAGGAGGGGAGAGTGGAACTGAAGATAAAACCATAGGGTTGCTATTTCTCTCAAGCTAGGACCTAGGCCAGAGCTTTGCTTTTAGCCACTGCTTGAAAAGTGTATTTGGATTATTGGGTAGTGAGCTTTTATTATACAATCTCAGCATTTACATACTTACACCAAAATATAACGGCCAAGTGAACTCTCTTGATAGCTCAGCTTCTAGTTTTGTTTTGTTTTGTTTTTTAGCAATTCAATTATTTCTGTTTGAAAAATATGTGTTTATGGAGTGTTATTTTGTCACACTGTGGCTTTTACTTTTTCTCCACCAATGTTTATGGATGGTCTGCTCTGCTGTGCTTCATGCTATTGCATTAAAGTACTTGGGAAGGTATCATATGTGATTCTAATGCTATTTCCTTTGGATATGATTTCTTAGCAGAAAGAATTGGATATGGAGGAAATATCCCTAAAATCATTTATCCAAAAAATAATTCAATTGAAGTACAGCCTGGTGAGTAAAGTCATTGAAACCATTGAAATCACCAAGGGCAGAGCTCATTTTGTGTGCGTATTCTAGTGAATACTTTGAATTTCAAGGATGAAGATAAATCCCATACACATCCAGTTTCCAGCTTTGGATATACCTGTGCTCATCAGGAGAGGCATCAAAATGAAAAGCAAGAGAGCTGAAGCCTGGGGAAGTTGTGTTATCAGAGGTCTGGCAGTGAGCTTTATTATAAACTTGTTTATGCACAGGCAATAAAAATGTAAAAATAGTTCCTGAAAAAGACAATAAATGTTATAAAACTACACTAAATCATGTTGATCAGGAATTTTGGATTACATTAGCTCATGCTGGAAAGTATATTGAAGGAGTAGGGGAAATTATCGTGTTATATTCCTTAATTTACATAAGAAAAGATCAATAAAATTGCCTCTGTTTCAGTTTGTGATCTAAGTAGAGAAAAAAGGGCTGAAATTATTTTTTAAAACTTAAAATAGTAAAAGTAAAATAAATATGTTGAGTAACATATGAAAAAAAGCAAAATAAAGTCCCCATTAAAATACAAATGTTCTGATTGAGACAAATATTAAAATTCAATTACATGCTTTTCTCAAAAGACACATATCTAAAAATGCATGAACTAGAAGATTAAAAATAAATGAATAAGCAAGGCATCACTTGCAAAAATTAGGTTGGCAATATTAAACTTTCAATCTGATAATATGTCTTTTGAGGCCAAAAAATCAAATGACAATTTAAATCATTTTATACTAACAAAAATTATAACTCTTCCCAAAATAGGATGTTTTATGTGTCTAATAGTAGTGCATCAAAATCTATAATGCTAAAAGTCTCAGAAATACAAGTACAATATAATAAGACAATACAATTGTTTCAATTATAGTGGGAGATTTTAATATACTCAGGCTTTGAGACATTTACTAGGCAAATGAGAATCTAAATGGTTTGAGAAACATAATAAGAGTAATGTATTTAATAGATAGCACACTCTCACATCTATGAAAAACTCAGTCCAAAAGAGGAAATTGTACAGATCACATGCTACAATCACAATGCAGTAAATCTAGAAATTTATAACTAAAACAAAACAATGAAAATAATCTCACTCATTAAATATGTGAGGTGATGGATTTGCTAATTAGCTTGATTTAATTATTCTACAATGTAAACATATATCAAAACATTACACTGTAAGGTATAAATATATACAATTACTATTTGTCAAAAATTTTTTTTAAAAATTTTAAAAATGTAAATAACAAATAATCCATCTCCTAATTATTTGCTTTCTTGGTTAGAGATTAAGCCAAAGCCATAGTTATAAGATATTTAGAAAATAATGATAGTGAGAATACCTTATATCAAACTTCATTGGCTTTTGACCAATGTTGTACTG